AGAGAGTCCCACCAAGGTCCACCTCTTGACTTTTGACTGAGAGCAGGATGAGATCAGACTTTCAAATCCCCACTGCCATGACAACTCTAGGTCACTTGGCCCATGCTGACTGGTTCTAATTGGATTCTTAACCATAAGTTCTTACTTATCTCCCTCAGTTCCTGAATCTGGTCTGTGAAAAGGATCACAAAAGTCTCCCCCTCCAGAGTTCCTCTTACCGACATTATTTTGGACCTGCATTTTTTCTGCTGATAACAGTTTACTGAGGAATGTGACATATCCTGTCCACTTAAGCCAGGCAGGGCTGCAAGTAAATTGCTTCTTGGAAAAGAAAGCATGTGGGGGTCAGCAGAGTGGGCCCATTTTATAAAATTATTCCCTTACCTTGTGTTCCCACCACACACATCTGTCTGTCCTCTATCAGTAACAGTCCTGACACAGAATTACTTTGAGGATTAGTTAAGATAATAAATGTACAACCCTTAACCCAATGGCAGCACACAGGAAGGGCTGAATAACTAGTTGAGGTTCTATGACTTTAATCATTATTATTGCTTCCAAGCATGATAGAATGGTAGTGGAAATGGAACCAGTGAGAACCTTCTTTAGATGGAGCCCTCTCATGATCTGAAACATCCAGCCACAGTTTAAAGACAATCATACCAGTGCAATAGCTGTGGCCAGTGGAACACCTCAACACATCAAGTGGGCTGAATGAATCCTACTAGCCTGAACAATTCATCACTGCTTTTCTATGGGATACTTAGTGAGCAACCAAATTGTGGGTTTTTTTTTTTTTTTTTGGAAGGACACAGGTATGCTGCCCATCATGTAGAGTTTACTTTGTACATAATATGAAGGATATTGTCAACCCCCTCCTAACTAACAAGTGGATAGACCAGGAATTATGCTGGAAGAATGAAACTTGATGGCCACTGCACTTCAGACACCACAGATTCCAAATTCCTCCCACGAGAAGTAGGAGTGTCATCCATTTCTTTAGAGACACTTCCATCAACACAAAGCCTGAAAGCCTCTCTAATGCCTTAAGATTAACACAAAAACAGCTGGTGAAGGGGTGGAAGCCTGTCAACGGCAAAAACTCTAAAAGGAGAATACCTAGCTTAGCTAAAGTCAAAGCAACAGGAAGTCAAGCTCGTGCTTGACTGGATTATTATTTAAAGACTTCCACCTTCCATGTAATCTCATTTTACTTGATTGCTTTTGTGATATTTGAAGAAAGAAGCAAGAAAATAATCATAGAGGATAAAATGAATTCTGGTTAAATAACAACTGGGCCTAAAGGCCAGGTGTCAACCACAGAGGATAAGAACTTTACAGTTTCGGATCTGGTCTGAGAGAAAATGATAGCATAGCTATTTACTTGTAGTGTCTCCATTAGCAAAAAAATTAGACATTAATAACCAACTTAAGATTGGTAAACTTCATATAGTTCCAATTAACCAGCACCGTGTGCCTAGTTGCCATCTCAGTGCTGTGTGTGACAGGAGGTAATGTGCAGAGTTCAAGTGAATAGAAGACTTTCAAATTATTACCCAGTAACTAGATTTTATGTGAACATTTAGTCCAAACAGACTTGGAAGGGAGCCATCCATTTCTGAGAAGTTTAAGGGCAACTCTTAAAATCTAGTGTACACTGACATGTTCATACTCTACCCAATTACTGGGTAATATATTTCTGAGTTTCTTTCTTTTGAAGTCATCCTGTAATAAAGGATCATAGTGGCTGATAAAACCTCATACTGTAAAAAGAACAGAGTATAAAAACAAAACGCAAACTGGCATTGGTTAATACTATTCACATTGTCACCATCTCCGTGACAGTGTATGCACTGGTGGTATTTCTTATGTGGAACTGAGATACCATTGGAAAAGACTTCCAAAGGGGCTCAAGGAGAGTCAGCATTGAAACAAGAAGTGACTGTGTACACAAAACACCCACAGAGGGGTGGGGTTCTAAACTGGTTGTCAGCAGAGCTGGCATTTCTTATAGATAAAGGACCACAGTGCCCCATCTTCCTACAGTGCCGCCACTGACTGCTTCCTGGGCCCTAAGGAAGAAAGAAACTCATCAGTAGATGCAACTGTGCATGTTTTGTCACGAGACAAAACAATAGGATTGTTGTCAGATGCCAAACAGCGAGAGCACAGGCAGGAGGAACTGCCTCTCTAGTTAAGGATGAAAGAAACTTCAGAGCTGCAGAGGTAGTGACCAATAGGCACCCACGGCCTTCGCTATGAACACTGTGTCATATCTGGGTTGGCAATTATCTTTCTTCCTTTTTGACATAAAACAGCAGTATGCATAATACTGATATCTTGGTATTTGAAATATTTACTTCTTGAGAAAAATGGAGGAAAACCTATGCACTTTACAAGAAATATTTTCTAGGCTGCCTTTGAGGGAGCCCAACAGCTGCAGCAGCCCCTTACCCTGCCAGCAGCTCTCCCGGGTACTCACAAGAAGCAGGATCAGCAGCTGAGAAAAGACTTCACAGCCAGACTCCTTGGGTTCAGACACAGGCTGTGTCACTTACTAGTTGTGGGGCCCTGGCCAAGTTATCTTTCTGGGCTTCAGTTTCCTCATCTATAAAACAGGGTAACAGTATCGGCTAGGGATCTGGAATGTTCCCCAAAGGCTCCTGTGTTGAATGAAGGCTTGTTCACCAGCCTGTGCTGCCATTGGGAGGTGGTGGGACCTTAGGGAGTGGGACCTGGAATGAAGTAAGGTCACTGGGGGAGTGTCTTTAAAGGGGACATAGGGACCCAGGCCCCTTCCTCTCTCTGCTTCCCTGATGCCACCAAGTGAGCAGTTTCCTTTGCCACATACTCCCCACCAGAAGGCCAAGGGACCATGGGCTGAAACTACGAGCCCCAATAAACCTCCCTTTCTTTTACTTTCTTAGGGATTTTATTAAAAGCAATAGAAAGCGAACACAGAACCCATCTAACAAGGTTGTTACAATAATTAAAGGAGACAGTACTTACAAAGAGCTTTGAACAGTATCTGGCATACAGCAAGCATCATAGAAGTACTTGTTAAATAAAACTAGCAGCCAGATTTTGGTGTCAAAAGGTTCTCCAAAGAAAGGAACCAGGGTTTCTTAGAGGGTAAGTAATTACATATCTTGGGGCAGGAAAAAAATGAAGGATGAGCAAGGCCCAAACTGTGATTGGCAGAAAGGTAAAAGGCATTCAAGAACGGGGCTAATGTGGGAAAGACAAATCACTGACTAAGATGGGACACATGGGTATCAAAAATAGGAAAGCAAGCCAAATGTGAAAGGCATGATTTTGTCATGACAGTACCACAAGAAGAGTTCACATAAATTACACGGTGAGGTGAAAGCATGCAAAAGAAGGGAAAAAGAGTATCTTTTGATTTTTGATTTTAAGAAATAGAAGAGTACTAGGTGTTTGGTCTTCCTATCAAATAAATATTTATCTGTTTAAGTAGAGAAGGGTGAAAGCAGGGAGCTTGGTAATATTAGTTGGAGCAAAAGTGGAGGGCACACTCGTAACAGAAGGCCTTAATACATTGAACAACCAGGGGAAAGAAAATTGAACAGAGTGTCAAAATGATGAATGAGCTAGATATTATAAGAGGTGCATTAACGGCGGACTTCATCCCTCGTATCCTAGGAGATGATATCCTTAGATGGCCTTACTGATTGGAGGGAGTAATAAAGTATGTGTTAGCTTCCAATAATGCCAAACTACAGGCAGACCTGACTGTGATGGACAATGGTCTAGAAATGCCAGCCGAGCAAAACATGCAAACAAAGCCTTCTGGGATGAGTACCATGCTGCCAGAATTAGGAGCTGTATGCAAATCCTGGCTCTGAAATCTTGTTTCAAATGGGGCTTAGGCTTAGATGACCAGTGGCTTGGATTTGATGACTATAGAGGTGACGAAAAATAAATTAGCTGATAACTAGATCCTATCACCGCAGCTGGTCATACTATTTTCCTGGCTCCAATAAGCTTCTGTCATTGTGGAAATATACTATTGTACTACTGTATCCCTAGGAAAGTCTCAAAATGCACCTTGCTCTAACCCTAGGAGTTATCAAAATATATGTTGCCACAAACCTACGAAAGTAAGAAAATTTAAGAACTTCCATGGTGTTGGTGTTTTAGAACAGGTTTAAATGTATTATATGTTATCTGGATCTTTATGCATTGTTTCCAGTATTGAGTGTTAGAGACATCACAGTAGTTTACACTGTTCAAAGATTTAAGTCTGCAATCTGTGTTTAAATAGATTTGAGAAACTGATTTTCAGAATTTGGTTTTAGATGATTTAACCGTTTGAGCATAAAGCAAAAGTAGGAGAAGGTGCTTTGCCGCAGTCTGGCTGGGCACAATCAGGAGCCACTTGTCAAAAGAAACTAACTTTATTTTTAGAACCACACACGACAAACAAAATAGCCTCTCAGGAAAAACCCTCAGAGCCTCAACTGCCACCACCGGCTTTCCCCAAGCCTCTCTCTCCCCCCCAAGCTTCTCTCCACCTCCCACAATCCTCCTGCTCTTGAGGCCGATTGGCTGGGTCACGTGGGCAGAGCCAAAAAAGTCCCCCAATGAGCAGCTCCGTGGTCTGAAAGGGCAGGGAAACAGTCCAATGAGCATCACCGCAGAGGAGCCAATCAGCTAGATGTTGCTGGGGCTGCTGTGAGCCAATCGTCAGCCGGCAGCTGGAAGTTTGCTGGCAGCTGGAAGTTTGCTGGGGCCCCTTCGGCTGTGGCTCTCAACAGTGCTTCATGCTTCTCTCCATGAACAAACACTCCTTGGATATTGAAGGATGCATGAACTGGGTCACCAACAGAATGTCTAGAGGATGTAAATTGCATTTCTCCACATGAAAGACCATTTGGAAATACAGCAATCCACTCCTTCCACACCAATGACCACCAAAGGAAACAAAAGATAAAGGTAACAATAGAAGAAGACATGAAAAAGAAACGCTACACAGTTGATCAAAGTTCTTCCCCACAGTTTATTAAAAAGTAGGACACGGGGACAACTGGAAATTAACCTCGACAACCCTGGCTTCAGGTTACCACACAAATGCAATCGGAAACGTGTAGCCTTGTGACACATGGCTTCTGTTTCAGCTTTGAAACAAGGTGAATCTGAAAGGACAGAGAAGGCAAAAGTGTTCAGAGCAGTTAAATATGATCATGATGTTTTCGATGTGGAGAACATGGAGTTGAGAATCACTCCAAAGATCCCTTGGCTTATTTCTCCCTGAAAGGATTAATCCAAAACAGATCACCTTCATATCCCTGGGTCTGTCCATTCCTGGAAACTATTCCCCTTATAATGTTTTTCCTTTGGAAAGGTTGGGTGTCCTTCCTGTTACAACTCTATGTCCTAGTCCCCCACCCCCAACTAAGACATGCAATCGGAATGCTCACTAATGGGAGAAAGGCAGACAGAGAATGGTAGGTATCATTGGGCACCAACATGAGCCCAGCATTGTGAGGGGAAATTTCCATTATCTCATGACTCTTGAGAGCTGGGTTTCATCACTCTATCTTTAGAGATGAAGAAAATGGAGCTCTGAGGAAATGAGCAAAGTGCCCAAGGTCATCATAGCAACCAAATGTCCTGGTATAGGTTCAGGTCAGCCAGCATGCTCTTCCTCTGTCCCATGCTGCCTTTCAGTTCTCTGTCCCACTCTTCTTACTGGGCCTGCCTGTCTACAGCTGTTTCTCAGATGAACTGCCAAATCAAAAACCTTAGTTCTGAGGCTGGGGACATAGCTCAGTGGTAGAGCACTTGCCTAGCCTGCATGAAGCCCTGGTTTCCAACCCAGCATAAAACACACAGAAAACTTGGTTCTGAAATCAGCAACCAAAAAAAGCAACATAAACAAGATCTTATCTAAGTCTCATTTGTTGATCCAACAAGTACTTCCCTCATTAGGGGCTATATCAGCCCCAGGATGGATCACAACAGCTTTATGTGTGACCTAGAGAATCTGATTCTGTACCTGTGTCAAGGAAGCATGCATGCTCATTCTGTTTTCTAGCCAAACCCATGTGCTGAACTCTTCATACCCATCTTCCCTTTGGACCCAGGTCTGGGAAGGGTGCCTAGCAAGGAGCATAGGTCCCAGAGATTGACAAAGAACTACCCTCCTCCCCTTCATGACTGTCTCCACAATATTACCCTACATTCAATTAGGACACAGTGTAAAGGCTTTAAACCAGACTCTAAATCTATTAGGGCAACAGCAATTAAGATCATTTTTTAAAAGCTCAAGGCAGAAAAGAAATTAACATTCCATTTATTTTAAAATGTAGTACACAAGAGGAAAATAAGTATTGAGGACAAACAGAGGACAATCTATTGAATTTCTTACAATTGTGCATATGTAACAGGTCATCAGGAATTAAGCCTTGCTTATTTTTATTGAAAAAGATCTGAAGAGGCAAGAAAAATTTATATCTACTAAAGAAAAGTCATGTATTACCCACACCTTGAATATATGCGTGTCATTCAGCTTTGCATGGCTGTGACCAAAACATCTGACACGAACAACTTAGAAGAGGGAGAGTTTTCCTTGGTTCACAGTTCAGAGGTGTAGTTCATGTTCAGCTGAGTCCATTGCTCTGGGCAGCACATCATCGCAGAAGGGCATGATGGAGGAAAGCTGCTTCATTCATAGCAACCAGGAAGAAGAAAGAGGGAAGAGGAGAAGGGGTCACAGAGAAAATGTTCCCAGCTACCCACCTCCTCCAGCCATGTCCCCCATGCCAACAGTTATCACCCAGTCTATTCAAACTAAGAGAAACTGATTACATTGCAGCTTTCACAATCCAATCACTTCAGTTCTGAATATTTCTGCATTAACACAGGAGCTTTTGGGGGACACCCATGTCTACATCATAGAAACTTGTAAATGGAGAAAAACAACCAAGAAAGCCATATAAGGTTGGACAGGGTGTCCACTGCATAAATATGCTGGTTTAGAAACCAAAGTAGATAAGAATCATAGTAGGAGTTGTAACTTTTTGAAGGATAAGATCCTTTTAAGTGCCCTGCCTGTGCTAGAGCTGGGAACAGATCAGTAAACCGCTACAGACATACCCTTAAGGAGCTTCCAGAGTAGGTAGATACCAAACAATTACAATTAACAATTTAACATATGACGTAGTTCATTTTCTGTTGCTGTAACAAAATACTTGGGACCAGATAATCTATGAAGAAGTTTATTTGGTTCATGGTTTTGGAGAGCAGGAAGTCCAAGAACATGCCGGCATTCATGAGGGCTTGTTTCTACATAATTAACAGGTGGAGGGCACCAAAAAGCAAGACAGGGCAGGTGAGGCAGCTTGGGTGGTTCTTCTCCTGAAACCAATCACGTTGTCATGGGGACACCATTCATATTCTCATCTAATACTAATTACCTCCCCAAATACCATTCACGTTGCCTCCAAATACCATTCACACAGGAACATGGGGATTAAGTTCCCAACACATGAAGTTAGGGGTCCATGTTCAAACTATAACACTGATTTTTAAAATTCTATGGTGCACCTTTTCCCACACTTATTTGATCCTCACAAGCACCTTATGAGATACAACCACTCTCTGGTCCAGTTGAGGAAACCTGTATCAAGCATCAGCTAGAAGGGGCTAGGATCAGAACCTGGACCCACGAATCCAGTTGCCCATTTCTTTAAGGACCAAATGACACCAGTTCCTCCCTGACCCAGGCTCCCTGATTTACACTACAAGTAGAGCCACCATTCACCCAGCTTCTCAGACCATAACAATCTAAAATCACCCTCAACTCTTTTTCTCAGCGGTAAATCTTTCCATCTTTCCTTTCAAGATAGATCTAGAATCCCTCTGCTTTTCCTTCCTCTCCTACTACTGCCCTGACCCAAACCCTCATCCTCTTTCTCATGGAGTAAGCTGTTGTGGTTTGGATGTGAGGTGTCCCCCAAATGCTCCTATGTTAACGCAGAAGATGACCCGGTTAGATTAGGAGAACTATAACCTAAAATGTGAATTAATCCATTTAAGGGATTCATAATTTGAATGAATTACTGGGTGGTATATGTAGGGAGATGGGGCATGGCTGGAGGAAGTGGGTCATTCAGGGTGTGTCTTGAGGTAAGCAGTTTTTTTTTTTTTCCCCATGTTCTTCCGCCATGATGTTCTGTCTCACCTCAGGCCCAGAGCAATGGAGTCAGTTGACCATGGACTAAAAATCCCTAAAGCCATGAGCCACAATAAACCTCTCCTCTTCTAAATTGTTTTTGTCAGGTATTTTGGTCACAGTGACTGAAAGCTGACTAACACAAACATAAAAATTTCTAACTATTTTCCCTGCTTCTGTCTTTGCCAGAGACCATTTATGCCTTAGACAGTGACCAAAACCATTCTTCTAAAACATAATATCACAACTTCCTGGGCTGAAAATCCCCTACCACTTTCCCACTCAGCCTCTACTGGCCTTGGACTTCGGTCCTCCTGTGCTCTCAGTTCTTAGGACTCTCTCTTCCACACCCTTCTCCATAGCCACCCTGACTTCCCTGCTGGTCCCAGAACACACCAAACTCATGTCTATCCTGAGGCCTCCACAGCTGTGGTTTCTGCTGCCCAGAACACTCTTAAGGACCCAGCACCCACATGGCCACTCTGTCCTTCACTCTGTGCACAGTCATCTCTTTCAGAGGCTCTTCTTGACACACTCTGAGGAAACACAGCTGTCTTCTTTCTGTCTCCTAATTCCTCTCAGTGCTCAGGGCTATCTGCCATAGTGCTCCACAGCTATTTGCTTATTATCTCTTTCCCCCACTAGAATACAGCTCACTGTGGGCAGAGGCTGCTTTATCCACATTTACCTAGACCTTGGAACACCTCCTGGCATGTGGTGGTGAATGAAAGGATGCATCTTAAAATGTAAGTGTGGTGAATTCATTAGTCCGTATCATAATGGATAACATCTAAGAATTTAAAATGATCTAATTGTAACCATGGCTATGAAGAGCATGGGGAAATAAATGAAATATAAATGGAGTGGGCAGTCACGGGTCCTGGGATGCAGTAATGACCTTTTCAAGGTCGGCTCTGCAAGCTCAAACCTGAGGCTCAAGAATCAATCCAACTAAGCAGGTGAGAGTGTTAGGAAGGCCATTCTTCACAGATGATGTCACAGACTTCAAATATGTAGAAAGCATGGAGCTGAGAAGAAACATGACTTGGAGAAAAATGCTAAGGTATGAAAGTGGCTGAAGCGCAGGGAGAGGAGAAATAGGAAGAAACCAGGGGGCCCAGGGTGTGAGGGGTGTTGTGGGTCATATTATTAAATAAAACCCAATTATGCCAGATATGGCGGTACATACCTGTAATCCCATATTGTGAATTCCTCCTGACTCCAGAGGCCAAGACAGGAGGATTGCCAGTTTGATGCTAGCTTCAGCAATTTAGTAGACCCTAAACAACATAGCAAGACCCTGTCTCAAAAAAAGGTTAGGGTGGGGATAAGTGGGGGAGGTTGGAGATGTTGCTCAGTGATAAATATTTCTATTTTAATCCTTTTCTAGGATTAAAAATCATCAATTCCTCAAAAGAACTTTCCAGCAACAGAGTCAAGTGCAGGTACTGCAGGTGGGGCTCTCAAGTGGAAAAGGACACTAATTCCTTGGAAATTTTCTTCATTTTGTCCTTATTCGTAGTAAGTTTGGGACATTTACATAAATAATTGAGCATGTTAGATTCAGAGATCTGATGCTTGTGATGACAATTTTTAATGGGAAGTTCTGATCATATCTTCACCCTTTCTCCAGCCTAACCCACCTTAATTGAGAGGATTATCTGATGAAGAAGGGCTTAGCAGTGGCTTAAAGATGTCTCATGATAATAAAAATGACCATCACCTCCCACCTTTCATGTGTGTTAGCAACTGTTATCTCTCTCTAGCAGTACTAGTTTATCTGAAGAATCAATCCAAACCACCTGAGCACAAGCCAGCAAACTGTGAAGTACATACAGCACAGCAGCTGAGATGACAAAGAACTCACAGGCGAAATGTCAAATGGTTATAAAAGCACAGTGGGCTGTGGACCTCAGCACAATCATGACGGTGCTGTTCAAGAAATTATAATTTACATCCATTCCAAGTTGTAAATGCTAGTCTTTCCTTTTTCCAACAAAAAGACCACTGACTTAAAATAGTAGTAAAGATTCAAACAGAGCACTGTAATCCTGGCTCGGGAGGCTGAGGCAGGAAGATCATGAGTTCAAAGTCAGCCCCAGCAATGGTGAGGTGCTTATTAGCAACTTAGTGAGACCCTGTCTCTAAATAAAATACAAAATAGGGCTGGGGATGAGACTCAGTGGTTGAGTGCCCTGAATTCAATCTCTGGTACCCCAAAAAGAAAAAAAAATAGTAATAAAGATTCAAGACAAAAAACTAAGAGAATTACATAAGTATTTCAGCATCTTTTGCTAGGCTTCCCAGCTGAAGATATGGAATAGAAAATCTCCAGAGGTCAATGTCTTATCCCAACCTTCTTCACAAACACTATAAAGCAGATAAGCAGATTAGTAAAACAAAACAAACAAATAAACAAAGCCCAAACCCTGAAGAACTGAAATAAAAATCACCAGAATTCTTCAAGGTAGGGGTAGGGATAGTGACATGGCTAATTGTTATACTGTCCCTAGAGAGCATTCAAAAGAATAAGCAGAGCTAGTAAAACTGAGCATTTTGACCTTCTGGTAATCTGAAAGGTATTTTCCCCAACAATATTACAAGTTGTAAAATTACACTGGTTTTGACAACTTTTAAAACCAGCTATGTAAAAGTTCTTATTCTTCCAAAAGACAAGTTTAAAAATCTAATAATTTTTAAAATCAAACATAACATTCAAAAATCTGTAGTTTTTTGCTGGGTGTGGCAGTGCATGCCTATAAATCCCAGTGACTCAGGAGGCTGAAGCAGGAGGATTACGAGTTCAAAGCCAGCCTCAGCAAATTAGCGAGACCCTAAGCAACTTAGTAAGACCCTGTCTCTAAATAAAATACACTTTAGAGATGGAGATATGGTTCAGTGGTCAAGTGCCCAGTTCAATCCCTGGTATCCTCCCCCAAAAAATCTGTGGTTTTTGTTTTATAGTTGTTTCATTAGATGTTATTTCAGTTCAATCCCTGGTACCCTCCCGCCAAAATATGTAGTTGTGTTTTATAGTTGTTGTTTCATTAATTGATATTTATCCAAGAAATTTGTCCTCTTGCATAGCTGACTTCCCAGCCTTAATTCCGTCAGCATGTCATCCAGTGTTACTGAATAGTGATGTGTGGAGTTCTTCCTGTGAGCCAAGCCATTCTCTCCTGGCTCTTCTTGAGCTTCAACTTCCAACCCTAGTATTTATTTACTCTTAGACTTTGGCACATTGGTTTCCATTTTCAGGGAATGTGTTAGCTAATTCCTGCTCATCCCCATTCCTCCATCAGGTCTCAGGTCTGACCATAAAGTTGGCAGGGGCCGGGGCAGGGGAGATCATGCTTCTCTTCTCTATCCCCAACATCTACCACATACCTAGCACCAAGGAGGTGTCTCACAAATCTTGGTGAACACATGAATAGTCACCTCTCCAGGAGAACTTCTCCTAAGCTCAGATTTGGGTGGCCCTCCTATCCTGTGCCTAACAGGCTGTTTCCTCCTCTGATGACACTTGCCATGTGAGACTATAACAGCTGGTTGATCTTCTTTGCTAGATTAATCTTTCAAACCCCAGGTTCTGTCTTGGTCACTGTTAATTCCCAAAGTCTCCCACAGCACTTGAAAGCACTTGTTGACTGTCTTTATTAAATCTGTGAGGAACATACTTGTTTTCCTTTTTCAATTAAAAAAGGGAAAGATGACATCTATTTCAGACTCTCATGAGTCTGCAAAAGCAACAAAATGGTGATTATATGAAAATATTGTAATTAGAAATTCAGATAAGTGAAAACTCACTTGTGAAGCTACACAACTCATTCATTTCCTGGAGAAGTATTTCTCCACAGTTCTAATTTACAGTCTGGGGTGGTAACAAAATCTAGAACCATCTCATTCCCTAGGCAACCATTTACTTTTCCAAGTATAGACAACATTTGTGGAGAAGCATCCAGAAGGATAGGTTACCTCAGAGTCAGTAACAGAGGTGTATTTCTCATATACTCTACATATCCATTCCAGGTTGGTTCTGTCTCCTCACTCAGGGAGGGCAGAGTGTCCACAATTTAGATGGCTACCAATTGCTGAGACAGGAGAAGTGAACAGCAATGTGGGCAGAAAGAGAAGTGGAAGCCATTGGTGAGCAGCATTAGTGACCAGAACAGAAGGTTTGGCAGGAATAGAAACACAGTATAAGAGTAGCTAACATTTTACCTATGGCACCCCAAAAGGAACTCTGAATCAACACACAAGCTCCATCAGTTTTTTTTTTTTTTTTTGCTTTAGCAAAGCTAATAAGACAAATGCCAAGTATTAACTTGGTATATGGCAATTTTCCAAAAAACAAACAAACAAATAACAACAACAAAACAACAACCCACAACTGAAACATAATTGAACAAGAAAAGAACATATTTATGTTCCCAAAACCTACATAACAGCATTTTATTAGCAAACCAATGTGGCTCCAGAAACTAAAAGCAGATTTGTTCCCCAGCTGTTCCTAGGTATTGACACAGGGAGGGCTCAGCATTATCCCATGGCCTCCACCTGGCCCTGTCAAAAGCCATTAGCTTGCAAATGATGCACGGGCTTGGAGCAACCACCACATCCTCTACAGCTCCTGTAACTGACGCTCACATTTCAAACAGATATAAACTCAGAGACTCATGTAAACATACACGATGAAGGAATGATCACAGCAGAGGGGACCATGTGGAGACTTCAGAAGACAGGCGAGGCTGTAGATAAACTCAAATTCCAAAGAAAGTGGTGTGGATAAAATTGTTAATGGTGAAGAAGGGCGGGAGGGGGGTCTAGAAAGTTTAGGGAACAGTAGTAGTTAAGTAAGAATTGAGAAGAAAAGGAAGGGTGATGAGAAAATCAGAAAGGAAGAGTTTGCAGAAGTTAAGGAATAAAAAAATTCACGGGCCAGAGCATGAACAGCAAGAATCACTGCTGCAGCGAGGATGCAGAGCATGAGCAAATTGTCACAATGACTCTTTGAACCTGAAAAGTCACTGGGACTTCTGGTGAGCATTTCCCTAAGTAGCACCCCAAACAATGGTGCAGCTATGTTCATCAAACAAACTCTTCTCAAGTTCAAGAGTCTAATAGACCACCATACAATAATCATGGGAGACTTCAACACACCTCTCTCGCCACTGGACAGATCTTCCAAACAAAAGTTGAATAAGGAAACCATAGAACTCAATAACACAATTAATAACCTAGACTTAATTGACATATATAGAGTATACCACCCAATATCAAGCAGTTACACTTTTTTCTCAGCAGCACATGGATCCTTCTCAAAAATAGATCATATATTATGTCACAGGGCAACTCTTAGACAATATAAAGGAGTAGAGATAATACCATGCATCTTATCTGATCATAATGGAATGAAACTGAAAATCAATGATAAAAGAAGGAAGGAAAAAGCATACATCACTTGGAGAATGAACAATAGGTTACTGAATGATCAATGGGTTATAGAAGACATCAAGGAGGAAATTAAAAAATTCTTAGAGATAAATGAAAACACAGACACAACATATCGGAATCTATGGGACACATTGAAAGCAGTTCTAAGAGGAAAATTCATTGCTTGGAGTTCATTCCTTAAAAAAAGAAAAAAACCAACAAATAAATGATCTCATACTTCATCTAAAAATCCTAGAAAAAGAAGAGCAAAACAACAGCAAAAGAAGTAGAAGGCAAGAAATAATTAAAATCAGAGCTGAAATTAATGAAATCGAAACAATTGAAAAAATTGACAAAACTAAAAGTTGGTTCTTTGAAAAAATAAACAAAATCGACAGACCCTTAGCCATGCTAGCGAAGAGAAGAAGAGAGAGAACTCAAATTACTAGCATACGGGATGAAAAAGGCATTATCACAACAGACACTTCAGAAATACAGAAGATAATCAAAAATTATTTTGAATCCTTATACTCCAATAAATTAGAAGATAGTGAAGGCATAGATAAATTTCTGAAGTCATATGATCTGCCCAGATTGAGTCAGGAGGATATAGACAACCTAAACAGACCAATATCAATTGAGGAAATAGAAGAAACCATCAAAAGACTACCAACTAAGAAAAGCCCAGGACCGGATGGGTATACAGCAGAGTTTTACAAAACCTTTAAAGAGGAACTAATACCAATACTTTTCAAGCTACTTCAGGAAATAGAAAAAGAGGGAGAACTTCCAAATTCATTCTATGAGGCCAACATCACCCTGATACCTAAACCAGACAAAGACACCTCAAAGAAAGAAAACTACAGACCAATATCTCTAATGAACCTAGATGCAAAAATCCTCAATAAAATTCTGGCGAATCGGATACAAAAACATATCAAAAAAATTGTGCACCCTGATCAAGTAGGATTCATCCCTGGGATGCAAGGCTGGTTCAATATACGGAAATCAATAAATGTTATTCACCACATCAATAGACTTAAAAACTAAGTAGCACTAAAACAGAAGCAAGATGTGGAGACCACAGTTTCTGAAGCAACCCCCAACCCTTCCATGTACCACATGGGCTCTCCTCTTTAGCCCTCTGCTGGCTGACTTTTCTAAGGGCCAGCTCCAGTCTCAGGTCCTGCACATTGGTTTCCATTTTCAGGGAATGTGTTGGCTAATTCCTGCTCATCACCAGCCCTAGGCTTGGTGCTCCATGATGCTCTGTGCTATACTTGTGGTGGCCTGTTTGGTTGGGTGGGACTCCTACTGGACAGTTTCAGGGAAGAGGCCTATCTTATTTATTTTTGTATCCCTTGTCCCCAGATGAGTTTTTGGCACAAAGTAGGTATTCAACCTGCATTTCTATAAGGAAGGAAATAAAGGAGAAAGGGTTAACAAAAAAGAGCAAAGTTTGCAGGACATATCCAGGCCAACCTACTAGCCATGGGGGGAATAAGTACCTCCTCATTAGGACCTTTCCTGTAGCAAAAACTGTAGTGTACAGTACAGTCACCTTGGGCTTCCATCTGTGACAAATCCCAGCAGGTTTTATGTGAGAAGCAAAGTCCCTTCCACTTCCCCTTCAATCTTCAATATTATTATTATTGAAGATAATGATTCCTTAACCCAATCCAGAAAGATTCCTAAATACTGAGGAATCTCTTAGATGCAAGTCCTTCTTCCATTGTGAGGGAGCACAAACTCATGCGGAGGTTCTGGAGGCCATACTTGGCCCACCTAAACAACTATCGATTCTTATTGGCACTTATATTTTCCATGAGAAGAAAGAAACGTGGATGTCTAGTGCCAGGTGGTTCAGCACCGATGTGGGGATTTTGTTTTGAGAATTTCCTACAAATGAATACCTACAAATAGTCACAAAAGATTATTCTAATCTCCCAAAATAGTTGCTTTCCCACAGCCATGCTTTTATTCATGCTGTTTTCTCCCTCACAGGCCTCCTCCACCCACCACCCACTCCTCAGGGTTAGATCAAGGTCAGCTTTGCTAAGCCCCTTTCCTTTTTCCTCAAACTCAGCAGAATTTAGCCCCCTCCCTGACCCCATTTGCTGGGTTCCCATGGCATTTGATTAATTCCCGCATCACAGTAGCTCACTGGATTACAGTTAGACATAAAATCTCTCCCCTACTGACCTGTGAACCTCTTGAAGATAGGGAATGCATTATTTTGTAACCTTCAGGACCTTATACTAAGTAGGGGTTTAATAAACGTTAACAGACTAAAAACTAAATTAACCTAATGCTTTTTGCTAACCTGGACGTGTACCTAGTACCCCAGTATGATTTGCTTAAATTGGGCATTGTTAATCATACATTATTTTCTTTATAAGTATAATTTTTATCAAACTATTCACTAATTCAACACAATCAAAACATCTTTTGTTGGAGTTCTGATTTCTGTCAAGTTTGAATATCACAGAATGAGATGAAGATGGCTTTCAGTCTATAAGTAACTGTATTTACTGAAAAGAATAACTAAATCATTTAGTTTTCTAATAGAATTGCAAACTTAGCCTCACAGATGAGGTAAGTCACTACTTTGAAATAAAATTAAATTAAATATATCTCAGAAAAGTTCAAACACCAAGAGTATTTTTTTGTTTGTTTTTTGTGAGAAAAACAAATTGTGGAAATGGCTGTTTTAAATAGATCCTATTTAAATCAGAATAATCTGACCATAGAAATGGATGCTGAAGCAGTTCTGCTATGAACAAAAGTATGGAAAAACAAAATAAATCAATCCTATAAGGGTATCAAAAAGCACATTAGGAAGGAAGCTGATGTAAGCAGAGTCTGGACCACTCATCCTTAGCTACTTGTCCCTGATGACCTTCAGGGAGCTATTGATGCTAACTGCTGGTCACTTAACATTGGAAATGCACAGATGGCTAGCTAGGTGTCTTTCACTTTAGAAAAACAAAACCTATGAAAGATCACCTCACAAATAACCAATGCAGATTAACAGAACTGTTCTGAACATTGGAAAGTATGACCTGCAGTGACATTAAGTAGAAAGCTTCCCAGTGCTTTAAACTACAAATTGACTGATGTGAAGTTTCAAACTTAAATCTCAAGACACTGTGTCCTTTACTTTTAGGTCAGAGATGCTCAGAGCAGTACAGTGACACAGTGGCTGCAGGGCCACATGGAAGTACAAGGTATTGATTAAAATTACATCAAGTATAGCTGCTTTCAAAGCAATTTAACTGCCAAAGCAGGAGGACATTAGCTTATGCCAAGTGACAGCACAATTCTGAGAACTATGGAGATGTCTTGGGGTCACATGCCTACAGACAACTTGGGGCTTACAAGAAGGACTAAATTCAAAACTATGTGTGATTTTCATTCTTTTTTTTTTCCTTGAAAGAATAAGTAAGAGGTTTCAACCAATTTTATACATTTTTTTCAATTTTCAGTGGGCCCTATTTACACATCTAAATATAATTTGACTATAACAGAATCATGTCTCAAAAAAAAGGACACCCCAGAATGGAACCAACAGCTCATCACCATCATGATAATTTTATCTGATTCAAATACAACATTTTGAAGCATCTGACCTTCTAGAAAAATACTGCAAGTCACCTTTCCTATAGTGACAGCATCACTATTCTTAAAAAAATTAGGTGGGGGGGGCGGAGTTTACCATTTTAGCCCTTTTTAATTCAGAGTAGGCTTTTATTTAAAAGTTTACTTTTTAATAATAGAGTAGGCAGCGAAAGGCAGGCCACCCTCTAGGCAAAAGGATTAGTTACCAATACACCAGTTGGTTTTCACTGTTGTTACACTTAGAAATTTGAATCATTAAATAAAATATAATTAGATTTTCAATTCACTTCTACCTCTTATTACAATGAATATTCAGCCAACAGATTTTTTTTAAGATAAAGCAAGGCAGAGGAAAAAACATTCATTTTTAATGAACTGTACATAAGTATCCTACTTAAAAGTCAGTAGAAATTAACCAATCTGTGCACAACTTCATATTACCATGGCACTGTATAGCCAGAGAAGACCAAGATAATCTCCTAACTTTATAATAAATATAACTGAGGACTGAAAATGTGAACCAGCTTGCTGAAGCCACAGGCTGGCTAGGGGAAGAGCCAAGACTGCTTCCAGCTGCCTCTTCACATTCTCATCATGGAACTACCCAGCACCACGACATTCCACTGTCATGCTGTGCCCATGCTTTCCTCTCTTCATGAATTTACCTTCCCCCAAATAGTTAAACCCCTAAGGTCAAAAGCTCTATCTTTTGTCTCAGTACATGTGAAGTATACAGTCAATGTATGATGATCATATGAAGAAAACCAGTGCAATATTACTACTAAATAATCCCAGAAGTGCCACAAACGAAGTGTTCAAAGATGTGTCCTTTGGCTCTGACTAATGAACTCTGGCTCCTATCATTTTTGTCATTAAAGACACCCCTTCTGATTATCTAATAGCCAACAACCCAAACACACATGACATATAAGCCCTGTGGAGAAGATCAAGTGCTCACTGCTATGCGAAAAAGACCACAGGGAGGTGGAAAAGTATGTACCTGAATCAAGGCAAATGTTCAAGGTACAAGTGGAAGAGCTGCATTCTGACATAACTTTTTGAATTGATTTACATTATGCAACCTGTAAAATATAGTTTTAAAAAATAAGATAGCAAGCTCTGGTAGCAAGCACCTGTAGTCAGGAGGCTAGGGCAGGAGGATCACTTGAGCCCAGGAGTTTGGGACCAACCTGGGTTACATAGGGAGATCCTGTTGAATGAATGAATGAATGAATGGGATAAAAACTATTCTAACTCTCAATATCATAAGCCACACCAGCGTTCTCAAGAGTATGGTTGGGTAATCCTTGGAGGTCTCTAAGAGATACATTCAGTGAAAATTACTTTCACCAGCATAATGTTATTTTCCTTTATAACTCTCATTCTTTCATAAATGGAGTTTTCTTGTGATGGTGATAATACAATCAATTGATGTGGAAGCAGATAAGGATCCAGCTGTCTGCTATTAAGCCAGATGTTAGAGACTTGCAAGTTAGAGGTGCCATTTTTCTTACTAACTTTGCTTTTGTTTTGGAAAATATGATTTTTCATTAAGAATATGTTTACATATTTATTAAGTGAATTTTTAATATTCACTTACATTTTTAAAATTTAAAATTTTAATACAGTAAATAGTAGATACAACTGATAAAAACAAAAGCTCTCAGGGTTGGCTTCAGTATATATAATTAGCAAAATTTAGTCCAGAATTCCTTGTTCTAAAATCATGTACATGATTTTTAGATAAGAAGAAACTAACTTGGGGTTGGGCAGAGAGGGGAAAGAGCCTTAGATAACTATAAGCTTTTGTTTAAAAAGCAAACTGCAAGCTTCAGTATACACAATTCAAGCCTAATTTAATAATACTGTAGCTTATGCACAAAGGATTAATGGTCAGGTAATTTATGAACATAGTAGTTCCCACCTTACCCATGAGGAACAAGCTCTGAGGTCCCCAGTAGATGCCTGAAACTGAAAAAGTACCATACATATGGTACATTTTTTGTTTTTTTTTTCTACACATACATATCTGATGAAGTTTAGTTTATAAAGTAGGCACAGAAATAGATTGACAATAATTCTAAATAAAAAACAACTATTATTATAACCACTTACTGTGATAACAGTTTTGTGAATGTGATCTCACTTTCTCAAAATATCTTATTGTACTATAAGCATATATTATATTTCTTGTGATGTGAGATGATACAATGCCTATATGACAGAGGAAACAAGATGAATGGGGTATGCCTTGTGACATAGACTAAGGCTGCTACATAAAGGTGACTTGAACACAAGCACTTTGATACAACTGATCTGATAACTACAAAAACTAACTACTGGTGATTTACAGGCAGGTGGCACAGGCACTGTGGATATGCTGGTCAAAAAGATGAGTTATGTACTTGGAAGGATGGAACAGGGTGGTGATAGATTTCACTGTGCTACTCAGAAGGCACACAATTTAAAACTTATTTCTGGAATTTTCCATTTAATATTTTCAGACTGTGGTTGACCATGGGTAACTGAGACCACAGAAAGTGAAACCATGGATAAGGAAGAATTATTCCATATCTCTTCCCCTCTCCCAGTCCCAATTTTTTTTAACCATATGAAGAATAAGACAGTGGGAGAAAGGCACAAAAACCAACCAACCAAACAAACCCCACAAAAGTTGAACAAGTGAAGAGGGCAGAGGAGGGATTGACAAAGTCCAGAAACTTCAATGTGCTTCTGAATTCAGAATCCATGCACAAGATGCACTTTTCATTCACATAAACCAAGAAACAGACTTTTCCCAGCAGGAGCTGTTCTTACCTCCCTCTCGCCTGCGAAAGAGTTGGAAAGCACAACAGGACGAATTTACTTTCCCCACAGGCCAGTCCAGATGCACAGCATACCACGTGATGCCACCAATAAACATTTATTGAGCAGGATGTCTAAAGCCTGTAGGAACTGTGATAACTGCTACATTCCCAGAAGCTGAACATAGAATTTACCTTAGCCAATAGCACAAAATTCCGAATGGAGTTTGAAATTTTCATTTGAACTTTAAAGTACTATATTATGTTTCCACTGTTTCAGGACTATATATGTAAGCATTATGTTCATGGTTCTACGTAAAATATTGGAGGAGAAATATACAATAATACCCACACCTCAAGGTTATTCATTAAAAGTTAAATCAATAAAAACAAGAGATGGTTGGGGGGTAGTGGCACATGCCTGTAATTTTAGCCACTTGGAAAGCTGAGGCAGGAGGATCACAAACTCAAGCCCAGCTTGGGCAACTCAGCATGAACCTGTCTGAAAATAAAATTTAAAAGGGGCTGAGGCTATAGCTCAGAGACAGAGCATCCCTGGGTTCAATCCCTAGTACTCCAAGAAAAAAAAAAAAAGAGTGTTGAGGCGTGTGTGACCCATTGCTCTCAAATGCATAATAGCCAAGACGTTCCTTTCCCTCTGAAGACAGACTCATTGGGCAATCCTACAGAGTAGGGTCTAAAACTGTCCCATAAAAGATATTTTTCTGAAATTCAAAATTTAAATTAAATATTAAAATAAAGCAATGGGGTTTCTTAACTCAGTCACTATGGTTCAATAAAACATGACCTCGTTAAAGTACTTTCAAATAAAGTCCATAGCAGACACTTCCCAAAGTTCTATTTAAATATGTTCCCCAGAAATTTTTTTTTCCGCCATTGCTCATTTTTCTTCTTTTTAAAAAAAATTAGTTTATTTATCTTAATTAGGTATATGTAACAGAAGAATGCATTTTGATTCATTGTAAATTCTGTAGCACAACTTTTCTGATATACAATATACTGATTGTATATGATGTAGCATCACACCATATGTGCAGTCATACATGTACCAGGGTAATAATGTCCATCTCATTCCACCATCTTTCCTGTTCCTATGCTCCCTCCCCTCCCACCCCTCCCCTTTGAAAATGACACTTTTGTTAGTTATGTTTTAAACAAAGATTTTTATCTGTAAGGATGATCCTCTCATGCCTGTTTTTTTTAAAAAATATTTATTTTTCAGTTTTCGGTGGACACAACATCTTTATTTTTATTTTATGTGGTGCTGAGGATCGAACCCAGTGCCCCATGCATGCCAGGCGAGTGCGTTACGGCTTAAGCCACATCCCCAGCCCATCGTGCATGTTTTTAATAACAAAAAAAAATTGGCTCCTATCAATGAAAGAACCATAAATAGAATGCAAATGCTACTATTAAAAATGATAGAGTAGAATATTTATTTACATGGACAGATAGTCACTCCATTTTAAGTGAAAAAAGCTACTGATCAGTCTGTAGAATTAGCCCATTTTTAAAATAAATACCTAGGTACTTATAGATATGCAGAAATTACCTACTGAAGCTGATAATGAAAATGAGGGACAGAATTCATGGATGATTTCTCTGCTTTTCATAGTGCTTATGAGAATCTGAAATGCCTATGATAAACACATCATTCCTGGAATAAGAAAAAAAAGTATGTCATTAAAAAATTATTCTAAGTTCCTGAGTAGTCAATGCCTTCCTCCAGTTTGACAGTTTAATAGACATCTAAAAATGATTTTAAGTTCTTCTCATTCAGGGTTAGAGAATGATAGAAGTTTTTATAGGAAAAACATTTGCCCAAGGGTCAAACTCTGCTAGAAAAATAATATTCTCAGCACGAGTTTAATTAAACTTGTCGCTGACAAGCATCAGGCCTCTCGGGCAACCTGCAGCACTTTGGAAAGTGAGAAAATAAAACTATTAAAACAGAGTTTGTCAACAAGAAAGAGGACATTGGGGACTTTGGAGTAATGTGCCTGAGGAAGACCCTACACATCAGAATCCCAAACAAAAGGATCTTGACACTAATCTGAGCACACTTGGCTGAAAACCCAGTGGTGGATCCTAATGTGTGGTCTAGGCTCCTCGAGGATGTGGGAAGGTAGCAACAGGAGACCTAAGCTCTTCTAAATATGGGCCTGGGGTGGCATGGGCTGCTGGTGGGACTAATAAAAAATCAGACTGCAGGGCTAGGATTGTAGCTCAGTGGTACAGCATTTGCCTTGCATGTGGGAGGCCCTGGGTTCGATCCTCAGCACCACATAAAATTAAATAAATAAATAAATAAATAAATAAATAAATGTATTAAAAAAAAAAAAAAAAAAACCCAGACTGTAGGCAGTAAGGACTCAAGGATAACTGAAACAAAGGCTAATCCTTTGCTTTTGACTGCAATGTTATCAGTTCAGTGTAATCATCACCATATCCTTTATGCTTAGATATGATGTGTCTGGTTAACATTTTTAAATAAAGACATTTACTTAACATAGCTTGCTAGACAGAATCGTTCCCAACGAATCCATCCCAGAAACAAATAATGCAAGGGTCCATGATGGTGAGACTGGGGGAACCAGGACATGAGGAATCCACAGCACAGGTGGCTACTGTGTGGATCTTAAATGACCCACAAAGGCCCACATATTAAAGGCTTGGTCCCCAGCCTGTGGTGCTACTGGGCGGTGATGGAGCTTTTAAGATGTGCAGCCTAGTGGAAAGAGGTTAGGTCACTAGGGTGTGCCCTGGAAGGGTGACAGGGCTGGGGCCTTCTGGGAAACAGGCAGTGCAAAGACAACCCCCCTCCTTCAAACCCAATTCTTGTGAATCTTTCTTGTCAGATTTCAGACGTGTCACTCAGATTAACAGGCTAAGAGTTTATTAGAAGTGATGGAAAAAGGGAAGAGGAGACACTCTTGAGAGAGAGAATGGATCTTCTTGGAGAAGAAAGGGACAGGTGCCTCCTGCACTCCAGTTTTATTGGGGATCCCAGAGAAGTTTCCAGACAGACCCACCCAGGTCCATCTCTTGACTTTTGACTGAGAGCAGAATGACATCAGACTTTCAAGTCCCCACTGTCATGACAACTCTAGGTCACTTTGGTCCATGCTGACCAGTTTTAATTGAATTCTTAACCATAAATTCTTACAGATTTTATGCTTAGGAGGAATGATACTTATCTCTCTAAGTTTCTGAATCTGTTCTGTGAAAAAGGTCATAAAAGTCTCCCCCTTCAGGTTCTTCTTATTTTGTTCCTCTTATTGACATTATTCTAGGACTGAATTTCTTCTGCAGATAACAGGTAGTCTGATGGGGAATGTGACGTATCCTGTTTACGTAAGCCAAGCAGAGCTGCAGATAAATTGCTTCTTCGAAAAGAAAGCATGTGGGGTCAGCACAGTGGGCCTATTTTACAGAATTGTTTTCTTAATCTTCTATTCCCACCACTCACTTCTGTCTGTCCTCTATAAGAAGAGATATTGGGACACAGTCCTTCTCTCTCTTTGCTTCCTGGCCATCATGAGGTAAACAGATTTCCTCTGCCACATGCTCCTGACATGATATGCTATCCTGCCACAGGCCAAAAGCAACAGGACAACTGACCATGGGCTGAAACCTCCCCAACTATGAGCTAAAATTAACCATTCTTCCTTATAAATTGACTTATCTCAGTTATTTTGTTTCAGTGATGGAAAGCTGACTATTACACAGGTCCTAGTGGAGCCCAGAATAGAAGACAAACCACATCCCGTGTTCCTCTGAGGAAGGCAAGGCAGGAAACAGGGCTTCCAATGCTATGCAAGGTGCAAAAGGGCTATGTGATCAGGTGGCTCATGTCAGCACTAACCTGATGACCTGGGACACAGGGATAAGAGGAGAGGCAGGGCTTCAGGTATGGGCCTGTGTGATTCCCATCTCTGTGCCAAGTTACATTTTTTAAATAAACACCAGCTGCTGTAGTGCAAGTTGCCAATTCTTCTCTTCTTCCCATTTGCTGTTGAACTGAATCACCAGCTCAGCTCTGGACACCTGGTTCTAACAACAGGGCAGCATGGCCTTTGGTGGCTTCACCCATTATTGATAATCATAGGCAGAGGTGCCAAGAGGCCATCTAATCTGACTCTTTGACTCTACTCCAACCCCTACCTTATGGAGAAACATTGTTCTGAAAGGCTGATTCCCCAAACATGTATTTCCCCAAATTATATTCCCCAAACATAAAACAGTTTATTCTTATAGGCTATTTATTTGCTACCAAACATTATATCCATTTCCTCTTTTATATTAAAAACCCTCAGTTTGGTTTCCCAGCTCCACTTCCCCCAACAGCCTTTTATAGGCAACTCACATTCCCTGCACCTACTAAAGTTTCTTCCTACTAAACGTTTACATTCCTCTTTATTTTGGCTAGCTATTATTGCATTCTAAACACATTTGTCAAAGCTCACCTTAAGAATGACTATGAACACACCATAGCAGACCACACAAATACATTAATTTTATAATCTGCTGCATTTTTAGTTTTTAAAAAGTCCATTTATCACTTGAGGTCCCCCCACCCCGCCCCCTCAACACTCATATGAAAAAGGTCACACGGTAAAAAGGCATCATTTTTAAAGCTTAAACCTCTATTTCTCATTCCCTGGAAGGAAAGTAGAGCCACTTTGGCCCTCTAAGCTTGGAGAGTAATTCAGTTCTCTGTCTGTGCCAGACCAGTGATGATTCATTACACTGCCCATCCAGCAAGGTTCATTAGGCTTGGCTTGTGCAAGTCACAGATGCAGATGCGCACACTGCAGGCCAGTCCTTGCAGGAGCACATGCTGCCCAGCTCCAGCAAATGGATGCTGCTCTCACTACTGCCAGCCTGGTTGGTCCCCCAAATTCATGAACCTGAAAAATTCTGGCTAAAGTGTGACTCTTCTTAAGTAGGAACTTAACCAGACCTCCAAAAGTCATTTTTAAAAGGGAATCTCATAAAAATCTGATTTATGATTTCAGCCCCATTATTAAGAATTCCTAAGCATTATTTCCTCATTTCTAAGTATCTGCTGATAATAAAACACATGATCTATTTATTAACTTTTGTAAAAAGAAACACCACCATATGAAATGCATATTATTTTTAAAAAAATATATTAATTTTTTTTAGTTGTAGCTGGACACAATACCTTTATTTTATTTATTTATTTTTATGTGTGCTGAGGATCAGACCTATGGCCTTGCACTTGCTAGGCAAGAGCTCTACCACTGAGCCACTCCCCAGCTTAATAAACTCCACATAAATTGGTTTTAAAGACTTACTAGGTTTCCAAAAACCAACTATAAACAAAAAAACTTTCCAGTCAAGAAAATATGGTAATTTTAACAAAATTCAGATGATTTTACTTAGGAACACACAAATACAAAAGTTAAGTATAATTGATAGAAATTATTACACTGGGATTGGTGACATACTCCTATAACATCAGTGACTTGGGAAGTTGAAGTAGGAGGATTGCAAGTTGGAGCCCAGCCTGAGCAACTTAGTGAGACTCTGTTCTGTCCCTGCCTCAAAATGAAAAGGGTTGGGGGTGTAGCTCAGTGGCAGAGCATCCCTGGGTTCAATCCCTAGCACTGAAAGGAAAAACAACAACAAAAAAAAAAATAGATAAATAATAAGTAGACTAATATATTCAATAGGATTATTTTAAAGTGCTTTGAAAATCATCCTTTTTAACAAAATCTGATGTGTTTATATGCCCTTATCTAATTTAAAGCCACCTGAAGATTGGGCCTTAGTAGTTTCCTTTGAGTAACAAAACACATTAAACTCTCTTATGTGACATTCTGTTTACAGGAATAGGATATCCTTTGATTGATGAATAATTTTATGCAATGATCCATCCAGGTTCAACTGATTCAGTGAAAGTCACTAGGGTCATGGGACAGCATGAGAGTCTAAAGTAACCTTCATTTTTCCTCTTTTATTGTTTTGGTGTTTTTGTTTGTTTTGTGGTGATGGGGTTCTCTTTTCTTAAACATGGATAGTAGATGCTTACATTAAAGAGCACATGGCAGGGCTGTAAT